TAGTATAAGTAATTACTTATACTACTAGTTACTGGGATATGCAATATTATTACTAGTAATGAGTTACTGCCTAACACTGATCACAGCCAATAACAATAGATCTATGGGTTATTGTAATCAATGAAACCAAAAAAGAAACAACCACTAGAGGGAGACAAACATCACAACGTTTCGACAATCCAGGTGGCCTTTTATTTTGAAAAATAAAAAAAAAAAGGTTTACATTTGAATGGACATCGCACTCTTATTGTGGAGGATGCTGGGCGGAAGTGTCATTGTTGTCGCTGCTGGCCGGAGAAGCACAGGCGCTTAGCGCTGCTAGCACCGCGGGCAGGAACCTTATTTTCAAAGTGGCAAGAAAAAGCAGCCCGACAACATTTAGCTCCGATCTCTCTCTGGCATCAACGGCGACAACAACAGCGTCGAACCGCCACTTCACACGTCGAGTGACTTGCTGTCGTGAACGTAATGACTAATTTATGTGCGGGGATCAGGTTGTTTTCTTAGCATTAGCTCCTGAGTGGATACAGGTCTGACCCGCGGACATGGAGACTCGGGGGATTGAAGACATGTTCGACTTTCGTCGGTAAGTCAGCTCACCTGGTGGGAGCTGCGGTGGACCCTTCAGCCGACAGCAAGCAGCCACAGTCGGAGTAATGTTTAAAATCCTGCGCGTTTTGAGGAGAAACGCGGTAATTCGTCTGGTGGCTAACTGTTAGCTCCCGTCGCTTTACGCTTATGGGAGAAAGCTAGCTCCCGTTAGCGTGCTAACCTAGCCGTGTGGTTGTGTAACGTTAATGTTTTATTACTTCATTTAATGTCAGATTTTGCAGCCCGGTGCGAAGTTTTAGTGATAGTTCATCTGAAACGTAAGCTGCTTCGACCGGCGACCGTAATATTTAATGATTGTTGAACTTTTATGTCGTTAAATTTGATTTAAAGTCTTTAACGATGGTTGAACTTTTCTAACTCTGCACTTGTTTTAGGAATAAATGACATAAAAACAGCAGATTGGGGAAGTAAAAGTTGTGCCTGGATCATTTAATCCATAAATAAATAAATAATCATTATGTTTTTAATTGTATTCTCAGGGTTAAGGTTTCTTAATTTTAGTTTAATGTATGTTTTGTATCTTTATTCTACTGGATAAATAAATAAATAAATATATCTATCTGGGTCTTTGTTAGGCCTGTAGGTGTAAGCAGTAATGGTGTCGGGTTTTAGGACACAATAAGATGTTATTTACTAGTTATTTGTTAATATTTGTTCTACCAATCACGTAGAGACACGTGTAATAAGGCAGAAGTGTGTTTGTTCTGAAACTGACATTAAGAGGACTCAGTAATGAAGGAGGAGTTGTTTACTCCTCTCATTAAAGCGTTAAGCTCTTGTTCAGCAGTTTACAAGCAGGTGTAGGTCAGATACTGCTGCTTTAATATCAACAATATTAAATATGATGCTGAATGTTGGTATGTATTTTTTCTTGTATAACAAATGTTTCCTCATACTTTTATTTGTTAAATCGATGATTTATTCTTATCTCACTTGTTTCTACTTTTTATTATCTAGTGCAGACGGATTTCAACACACAAGGTTTCCGAAGTGGCTGCACAAAAAGATACACAGAATAAATAGATAACACAATAAAAAGATGAGGTACACAGTAAAAGATAAAAGCAATAAAATAGAATAAAATAAGTAAAAATAAATAAAAAGCACTGCCCGCACAAGATAAAACATATGCATGTATACACATAAAATCAGATTATAAGATAATATTAGTCCATACATGGCTCTTTGTCTGCCTCTGACCAGCGGTGACATTTCACCTTTTTCAACTTTCATCTGCTTTATTTTAAAATGTTACTTCAAAACTGTGATTCTCTCTTTGCACAGGTTTCCCAAAGATGCGGTTGTCCTGCTGCTGTTGCTGGTTTACTTCCCGGTTGGCGTTTGTTTGACGCTGATACGGATTTTTATCGGTGTCCACGTGTTCTTGGTCAGCTGTGCACTTCCAGAGAGTTTTATTAGAAGGCGAGTGTCCGTTTTTCTACTATTCAGTTGTAGTTGTGGCAGCAGTGGTAGTCACATGTGTGCATTAATAATAACTGAGCTACAAGTAGTAGAAATGTTAGTACAAACAGCGACGCTATGTATTCCATTAAAGATAAATTCAGCCACCTCGTTAAACAGCATTAAGGCGAGTGGCTGCTCGATATATTCCATGTTTAAATAAATGTGATGACTGTGGTATTAAAGGACATTAAAGCCGATAACTCACGTAAACGACCTGCGTGTTGCTGTAAGAGAGAGGAAACCCTAAAAAAAAAGTATGCTATGAATTCCCGCTGTTAATAAAATCCTGCCACCCTTTATTTCTTTTGTTCACTCAGATTTATTGTCAGGATTATGTGCTCAGTCCTCGGGATGCACGTGCGGCAGAAAAACCCTCGCTCCAGAGACAGAAACACCAAGCTGTACATGTGCAATCACGTGACAGAGTTCGACCACAACATAATCAACCTTCTGACCCCCTGCAGTACCGTAAGTGTTTGACTTTTACCTCCTTTAACCTCCCGGTGTGCTTCTGTTTGTGTTAACGCATGCTGCACTTACAAACCTTTTTAAATATCAGTGTTTCATTGAAGCGCTGTGAATAGTCGCCTAGTGAAACTGCGTCATGTCCTGTATGTAAATCTCAGAAGACAGTGTGCACTGGTGCCTGAGGCGTATTAAAATCTTCCATGCTTGGTTTAAATCTCCTTTGACTGTTTCCGTTTACTGTTACACATTGAACGCAGTTGTAGGTGAACTCGCTGTGTCTCTTTCTGCTCGTTAGCCCCAGTTGGAGGGCTCCACAGGCTTTGTGTGTTGGGCCAGAGGCTTCATGGAAATCCATTCAGCACCTGGCCAGGAAGCAGTAGGAGAGTCTCTTCAGAGGTACTGCTCCACTGAAGGCACCCCGCCTTTGCTCCTGTTTCCCGAAGAGGACACCACAAACGGCCGCGCTGGCCTGCTCAAGTTCAGGTTAGCGCTAAGATTTTTGTTGCAGCATCTTAACCGCTGTGTGTGAGAGAACACATGCTGAGAATAACGGTTATTACTTGAGAGTGGAGATGGTTGATGTAATACCAGCAGGACGTCTGACCCACTGATGAGATGTAACATTTCCCACCAATTCTGCTCTTGTTTCGAGGTTTTCATTTCATTTTCATATTTACCTACAATAATGGAACTAGTCCTGCAGCACAGCAGTGACAGTTTGGACACAGTGTTTTGGTTATAAAAGGAAATAGATTTAATCAGGCCAGCCACAAATTATAATTCCTATTCTACTGCACTTTGAGATAGAGATGAATTACTTTGGCGGTTGTTTCTCCACACTAATTTCCCTCTAGAGTTCTGTGGGCAAATTAGTGTAAGGAAGGGAAAACAGCTGCAAAATTGATTCATTTCTACTATTAATTTAAGTAACTCAGAACCAAGTGTGCTATATCTTCAGCTGGGAGGAGCACTTCATAATAAGATCAAGAATATCTCAGTGTTTTTTCACTTTATATTAGTTTTCACTGCACACTGAATTAGACCAACACGCACCCCCAGCTCGATTCGCAATGTTAACTTTATGTATATTTTCCAATTAAAGAAATGTGTGTTGTTTTTCTTCTTGCTTGTCCAATCCTTGTGTGTTTCACAGCGTACAGACTCACCAACTAACATACTAAATATATTTGTTTCCTCTCAGTTCTTGGCCTTTCTCATTGACTGATTCCATTCAGCCTGTGGCCTTACGGGTGACCAGACCATTGATTGCTTTGGTAATGTCATTTGAACTTGCATTTTAAGACAGAAATAGAGTGCAGGGATAAAATACAAAATCAGATGGATACCATTACCAAAATGTGATTTATTGTGTATTTCCAGCGTTCACAGTTTGAGTCTTGAATGTTGAATATCTGAGTGTTACACAACAAGCACAAGGAGAAGAGATTTCGTAATGTTGTTGGTAATGACACGTAGGCCATGTAACATTTAACTGCCCATAACAAGACGCTGAAATGCAAAATGTTAACATTCAGAGAAGGGAAGGAAATCAGCAGGCATTGTGTACACCGCTGGCCAGCTATGGAAAATTATTACAAAATGAGTGAAATTTCCTGGAAGTATCAGCAAGCTGATTAGTGTGGGCTGCTTAAATCTAATCCATCTATCTCAGTACCAAGAATAATTCTGTCTTGTGTTGTTGTG